GGAGGAGGAACATCAAAGTGACAAAAAGTCGAGAGGGGGGATAGAATAATGATTCACGGATGTGACAGAGACAGACAAAAGAGCAGAGAAAAGGTAAGATGAGTACTGTAAATGGGTTGAATATGGCATACAGTGGGGGTAGTTTGAAGTCAGAAGTCAACTGCCGGTTAATAGACTTTTTTGCCGTATGAGTATACGTTGCCCAGGTGCACCACGTGGAGGTAAGTCTATCGCACACCCCATCTTTGGGATATATTCGACCCCTTCCACAGCACTCAACCCGCCTTTTCTCTACCTTTGTCTGACTTTTACATCTTCAGAACACTCTTCTGTCCCCTCTGTGAAGCCTGAAGTCAACTAAAGGGCTAATGATAACCATCAAGACGCCTGTCATTTGATATAAATAATATCCCAAAGATAAAATCGAGTTAAAATGTGCCTTTTTGAATTTTTAATATCAATGATAAATGGTGATTCCATTCATTAGTTTTGAGAATAATTAAGAGAATTGCACAAGTATCATTAGACCCCGATGATCTGAAAATGAAAAATGTTTGAAAGCATAACATGACTTGAGCATTTTTTGGCTTAGAAGAAATAGCAGATGTTCTGGAATTATTACATTCATTATTATATTTAAAAAAATAACTAGTTGAACAAAAGCATCAAAGTTTTTGCAAATTGATAGGAGATGCATGAATGCCTTTATTTGCTTAGGCGTAATCCTCACATGTTAATCATCTCCGCTCTCATTAAATAAAAATAGCGAAATATGACACCTGACTCTTCCTCCCTTTAGAATGTGTCAACAAAAAAATTGAAGCAAGAAGCACATTATAATATAGGATTTGCGAATATATTTTTGTCATTTTAATTGTACAAGAAGTCTCAGTGTGATAGACCAGTGCTCAATTTAATCCAGTAAAGTAAATTGGGTACGTAGGTAAAGGAAGCAGAATCTCGAGGTGTACGGAAGGTGCTGACGCCGTAAAGAAAATAGTGTCCATCACTTTGTCGAAATTTACAAAGTAGACCTCCACCGCCTCCTTGTAATTCAGTTTCCTATAATAAACAAATACCCTTAACTTAGGAAATTCGCATTAAAGTCGATGTATTGGAGATGACAGTGCAGGTGCTTACATTTAAAGCAGAACTCGTGTAGATCAAATATGGATTCATTCGTTTCCTAATATCAAAATAGGATTTAAATAGACTCAAATAAACATTGTACACCCTTAAGACTGGAGAAAACGCGCCTGTACCTGTCTTCTTACGTTCCCAGCCGACAACAAGGCATTCCTTACCAGTTGAGAACTTTACAAAAGGTGGAGGTAAACGGATTGGTTCGATTCCGGGTGCTTTAAATATTTCAAAATCATGCTATTGAAACTATTTAAGTAGGCAGTAAGTTAATATCAGTACGTTTTTTTCTGACTTACGTAGTTGGACCGGTTTAGAGAGCCTCAACAAAACTACGTCGCTTAAGTGGAATTGGTAGATCTCCCTGTATAGCATAATTCCATTTACAATATAGTCTCGACATGATGATTCAGTACCGAATCGTACGTGAATTTCATATGGACTATAGAACTCTTGCCGAATCCAATGGCCAACTTTCTGTTTATATAGGGGTTCACCGTCTACTTCTAATAAACAGTGTGCCGCTGTAAGAAGATACTGTGGAGCAAAAAGCAGAGCTGAACAAATCGAGACGTTTACTTTAAATTTGTCAGTTTCTTCGGTGTTTGAATCAGCTTTTCGAATGTATACGCTGGCCTATTTAACAACAAAACAAATTAATGTCGATTTGAGAAATTCCTACGATTTGAGATAAGAAGAGCTTTCTCTCTGTTTCGTGATGTGTGTTTTTGGATTTGACATTGACAAAGCCTAACAGGTTCTGTTCCCCAGGTTTCAACAAAGGTTTCTGTAGGTCTGTAGACGACTTATTCCGCCCATTTATTTCATGAGGTGATAGTAAACTCCTCCAGCGGTAATCGGCCATGGAGCTTCCTGGTTGGTTAAAAGTCATAAAGAGAGCAAGAAGAAAGATGAGTCGACATTCCTGTAGACGGACTGTCATTTTCAATGTCACTTTGGTTCACTAAACGTAATATTTATATTTCATCAGAAATATTTGCTTTTCATTTGGATCTGATTAAGTGCGTAGTTAGACTGAAGGGAAGGTAAATAAAATCAGTTTTTTTTCAAATTCAAAAAAATTGCGCTACCAATAAAGCTCATTTGAGGGGTTTTAGTATAGATGGTTCGTTGCTTTTACATAATTTCAAAATACGAAACATTTTTCCAAACAGAAATTGCTGAATAAGAGACCAATTTTAAAAAGAGGGTGTAAAGAAGTGAAATAATCTTGATTTTAATTATATATTATGCCCTTTCACTCATTTAATCACCACAACTCATTTTGCATTGCAAATGCGATTTGAGAATTTATTTATTTCAATTGGCAGGCTTTATGATGGTTATCACTTGCCCTGTAGCTGACTTCGGGCTTCACAGATGAGATGAACATTATTATTATTATTATATCAAATGGCAGGCGTTTTGATTGTTATCATTAGCCCTTTAGTTGACTTCAGTCTTCACAAAGGGGAAGGAGCATCAAAGTGTAAAAAATTCAAGAGGTTGGGGACAGAAGGGTGTATCAAAGGCGAAGGGAAACAGAAAAGTGATTAAAGGATGTAAAAGAGATAGACAGACACAAAGGCAAAGAAAAGGTAAGATGAGTACTGCGAAAGGGGTCGAATATGACATACGGTCGGGTCATGGTAGTTTGAAGTGTGAAGTCAACTGCCGGTTTATAGAATTTTTTGCCGCAT